TGACTCATAGACATCCTCATTTTCATAATATCAGAGAAAACAACTCTTTAAATCAATCATAACCCTTTATCCCAATTGATACATTCAGCAGCCCAATAGGATCAGGCACAGCTTGCAAACTGACCACTTGTGGTCGTCATTAATGTATCACCTTTAACTCATGTGAATTAAATTAATTTCAAGAAGCAGCCCATAATATGTTTGCAGTGAATATGCTTTTCAATAAAGCATCTTTACCATTTAGGATTGGGGTTAGACTTAGAATGAGAGGATTAGATAAGTGAAAGATTAGAGCAGATTTGAAGTGAATCTGGAGGATGTAGAATTACCTTACTATCTTTACAAAGCTATTAACTTCAGGGGGGATAGAGAGAGTGCAGGAGTAAGGACAAGAATATATACCCTTAACAATAACAGGTGCTTGCCTTCCCTTGAAGGTACACAGCCATGAGTGAGGTAAAATGACTGGAGAAAAAAAAAAAAGCATAAAGAGAAACCCCTCCTAAAAACAAAAAATAATAAAAGAAGAAGTCTGAGTTAGGGCAGGAGCTGGAATAAAAAGGGAGATGAGGAGTAATATTGTGGAGCAAGAGACTGAGTTGGAGAGAGAGGACTAAAAAAAGAAAGAAATTTTAGGGTGGAATGAGGAAAAGAAAAAAAAGAGAGAGAGAGAGAAAAAAAATGAAGTTGAAGGGCCTCTTTCAGACTATCTCTGTTCTCATATTATACCACATGTACAGCCATATGCAGAACCAAATCTCCTGATCTCAGCTAGGCAATGGCAGTTCCCCATGACTGAGACTGAACACAGTCCACAAGGCCTAACTTGAGTTTCCCTACTCTCAGGGTTGAACTCCACTCAGTTCTATTACAGGTTTCCCCTGCCTTTTCTTTAAAGATGTTCAAAGTTGGGAGCTCAGAAAACTACCCTTCATGAGAACCTATGCCTCTGCAGAGTTGGTCTAAGGACTGGCCCAATCAGGAGGTTTGAGAATGGGGGGGGAGGTCGTGGGGGTGTTTCAAGGGTGCCCGCGTGGCTACCTTCCTTATTGGGTCTGTTGTCACGCAGTCTGGGAGGTCGCACACCCGCTGGGTGATCTCAGGCAGGCAGGCAGCTGAAGAGACCCCCCTCCGGGGTCTTTGGGTCCTTGCTGGGTCTATTCCAGGCCTCCATTTTTTCTATATCTAGTGTATGACTTAGCCCAGATGGGATATTTATGTGGCAAGGTGCAGAGGTAAGTGGAAATTATAGTCAGAATGCAAGAGATGTGGGGAAGTTAGTGGAGGCAGAGAAATGGCTTAACTCATCTTCACTGCAGATATCCTGTGGGGGGCAAAAGCCTTTCCTTATATCTTTCTGGAAATGGAGACCAATCCTAACTGATGCCTTAAAAAACAATACCAGGTATTGCAACTAGAGCCTCATGGGTACTGTGTAAGTGTTGCACTCCTGAGCTACATCCCCAATGTCTTAACTACTTTTCTCATGATGTGGGAAGCAGAAGTCAGTAAGCAGCAACCAGAAAGTAGCAGCAGCAAGCCTTCCTTTCCCCTTTATCTCTATTAGGCTACAAACCTTTTGGGTGTTGCCACCCAGACCCCAAGTGGTGCTTTTATCTTCAGAAAATCCATTCAGTCACATCAACTATGCCAAATCCAATCGTGGGCTAATCTAGTACCATACACCCTTAATCCCAGTACCACACACCCTAGATCCAACCTGTTTGGTAAAGCCCCATCTATGAATTCATGAGGCTTTGGGTTGGAGGTGGGGTGGGGAGACAGCTAGAGAGAAGCTGTAATGTGTGACTGATGCTGCTTGTTTGTGATCCAAAATCAGCTGGTCTTAGGTGAAAATCATTGTACATACCCCTTCCTTTTCTTTTGGTCAAATTGCATTCATTTCATGGGAAATTTAGCTCAGGCTATAGGGTTACTGTGTATGGCTGTAGAGATTGTGCTCTGCAAAAACCCAGGTGGTACCATTTGTATTCCATGAGATGATTTGAAAAATCACTGCCCAGAAATCTTTTCATGTCATTACTACTGGAGTCTTATAGTTCTTGCTCATTAATAAATAATTGAATACCTTTTAAGTGCCAGGTATTGTTATATGCTGATTATTTGTCAGTGAACATGATAGTCTGTACCCTTGGAGTTGGTACAGGGATAAGACTGAGGGTAACTATATAAACAAGGTCAGTTTAGATGTTATAAAGATGAAGTTGCACATGTTGGGAATCAGGTAAAATTTTACTTGGAATGTCTGAGATATATTCTTTTATCCTCCAATAATATCCAAGACCATATTCTATAAATGTGACAGTTAAGCAGGATTGTCAACTGGGTGGGTCATGGTACTACCCTGGGTACTATATCTGGTCTCTGGCCATTACTCTTGGATGCTGCTCCCCACTCGCTTCCCAGCCACCCCTAAGTGAGGAGTTGTGCTCTACCATGCCCTGCTGCAATGATGTTCCTGCCTTGGAGCCTGCTGACCACAGACTGAAATCTAATGGGACAAATTAAGCTTCTGTTCCTTTAAATTGTATATATTGGGTATTTAGTTCCAGTGACAAAAAAAACCTGATCATTATAATAAGCAACTGATGTTCTGTACCTACTTTCTTTCTTTTTCTTCCAAAAATTATTATATTATTATATATTCATTGAGTATTTGATAGAATTAATAATTTCTTTATAGATTTTGTACTTGTCTTTAGCAGGATGAAATGGTGTTTTCATAGAAGGTGATTACTCAACAGTCTAAGTAGAAAATTTTATTATATGATAGTTATAAAATTAAGAATATTTTTGTAGTGGCAGAGAGAGACTTGCAAATTGCTATGGCTTATATCCAGATGTCCTCCCAACATCTTATGCAGTCATAGGTGGGGTTTTCCAGAGGTGTCTGGATCTAGGATATGTAATGTTGAGATCAAGGGTGTGATGCTGGGATTGATTCATGGTGTGCTGTTAATATTAAACCTGCCCCACTCTAGGTGTGTGTACTACCTGCCCTAAGGGTAGGTAGCCTGGATAGGAGATGAGGGGCAGAAAGAGGTCACTGTGTGTCACTTATTGCTTGCTCCTTGCTGCCTTCTACCTTTTGCCTACCATGAACTATTTTTCCTCTGTGATGCCTCTTTGCCATGCCACTCTGCCCTGAAGCCAGCTAACTATGAACTAAATCATCTACAGACTAAGCTAAATAAATCTTTCTTCCTTTAACTTTGGGAGCTGGGTATTATTTTGTCCTAGCAATGAGAAAAGTAACTAAGGCACTTTTGTACACTTTGACCCTTGTGAAGCATATTTTCTAAGATCTAGGAGAGTCCTTTAAGTCACAAATCCCACTAGAGCATAATTTCCTCATATATCCCAGTTAAATATAAGTAAAATATATTTAGGTACCCTTGGCATCCCTAACGATTTCCTATAAAGAAATGTGTAGGTCTATTTTCTGGATCAGAACCTTCATTTCCTTAGACTCATTCATTTTTATTACTTTTACTAGTGAATATTTTCTTCTAAAAATTTTGTTGTTCTTTTGTTTTAAAAACTAAAAGTCAAGGTTAAAACCAAATCAAATCAAATAACAAAACCCAGTATACTCTTGACAATGCATAGAAAATGATCAGAACATATTAAGGTATTGGTACATAAAGTGAGCCTATTCTTAGGATAAGGACTCCTCAATGTACTACCTCAGAGGACCTTCAATTCGAACAAAACATTCAGAAAATGAAAAGTCACTATTAAGGTTGCCAAAGGAAAACTGAAATTGAGAATGTTAAATTGACACAGATGCTAAAGATCTTTTGGTTTCTAAATTACAGATTTATAGCAAGAGGACATACTGCAAACATTTGTTCACTTATTTATTGTTATAGAATATGTGAGATCATTTTGGAGGGAGTTGATTTGGAACTTCCGAATTAAATATAAGACTGTAGGAAATAAGAACGCCACAATTCAGGTTTTTAGCCTTCTGCTATGTAACTATTGATATGCTGCTATTCATGAAGGCTCTGAACCTCACCTTATTCCTCCTTAATCAAGGTTCATAAATCCAACTTTCAAGGGCAGCAGTAAAAATAAACTGAGCCAATATTTTGGAAGTCTTCATTAACATGAAAGCAGCCAACACGATCAAGGTGTTGTTATCATTCCATTAGGAATTACTGGCTTCACATTCTCACTTTGTTCTTTGGGCAGACTAAAAGCAAATGGAACTGCTGGTTAGCTGAAATGGACACTGCACAAAGGGTTTAACTTACTTCTTTCACAAACCACTGACAAAAGGCAGGGCCAATCCATTCTCGTGCATGAACACCACAGTCTATCCAGACAGCTCTTTTGTAGGCTCTTGATTTCCTGCCCAGCTGAAAACAAGAGTATTCATAATAAACAACACAGGCTTTTATTTCTGGATTGAGTGACCAATATAATTTAATAGGGTTTCAGCATAATTCATCACTGTAGTTTGGTACAGTAAATAACACAGTAAAAAGATAAAGAAATACCTTATCTGTTTTGGAAGTCCAGATTTGTTTATGCAGGAACAATAACCTTATTGCCCTAATTACAATCAAATAACTAGAAAATACACAAGGAAAAGGTAAATCCCTAAAATAGGCTTGCTATTCTATTGTGATATAGTATATGATTATAAATAAAAAAGCCAAATTTCTCCTTTCATTCTCCTTTCTTCACTTCTCTACCATTTCCGTGTTTCTACCTGCCTGTCTCTTTCCTCTCAAAGAATCAGAAATGTCTCCAAGGAACATTTTTTTTAAGAACTAGCTATATTTTATTGGTGGATAAAACCAAACTTTGTTAAACCACAAAATGGAAAGAAAACAACTTGATCTGTAGAATCAAGTAGCAGATTAAAAAAAAAAAATCCTACTACATCATTATTACTTCTAACCTAGTTTGTAATCTAGTAATCAGTAGTTGGCTCTTGGCATTATATTAATAGAGAATCTAGTTTTCATTAATTCATCCAACTAACACTTCTGGAAACCTTTTCAAATGTGAGACATTTGGCTCAGGCCTGGAGATTCAAAGATGAAAAGACAAAGAATTTTACAGCCTAGTGGAGAGGGCCGAAAGGTAAATATTCAATCAACATTTATGATGTGAATATCTGTAAGTTACCTTAGGAAGATGGGGATGTAATGTCAAATTTTCTTGGGGAGTAAAAGAAAGTTCCTCAGAAGAGGAGTGCTTGAGTACTTGAACAAGACTGGAAGCTTTCCTGGTAGATAAATTGGAGGAAGGTATCTTAATCTTGAAAGTGACTCTGAGGATACCATATATGAGGAACTGCCCATGGAGTTTGAGGAAGGAACACCACAAGCTGAACAAAGAGCAGAAAACATATGGAGACCTAGCGTGTGTGTGTGTGTGTGTGTGTGTGTGTGTGTGTGTGCCTGCATGTTTATGTTAGAGAGCTCACATGGATAGCAAAATGGAGGATAGGTTAGAGGATGATATGGCCAAGGATAGACACCTACATGTAGAATATTCAGATGAAATTTAGGATGCAGTTTCATCTCTTGTGTAGTGTGCTGGAGCTTCATGTGTTCTTGGATCTGTTTTCAGCATCTCATGATGTTACTTCTTCAAGGCTGGCAACTTAAATAGAAGTTCAGTACTGAGGCCATTGTTGCAATAATACAGGGAGAACAGGTAGAGGGAAGTTGGGGCAATAGCAGCAAGGATGAGGGAAGAGGTGTATCTGTGTGTGTGTTGGAGGGGGTGCTTTGGGCAATAAATTTAAGTTAGTGATTAAAATAAAAGAGAACAGATTTGAGCCATATTTATTGTGCCATCCTGAGTCTGGGGTGCTTTTGTGAATATCCAGGTGAGAGTATCAAGTAGGCAATGCTATCTGAATTTAAAGCTGCAGGGAAGGAACTCCACTGCATATAAAGTTCTGGGTCACTATTGATAATATGGAACAGAGGTTGGACAGAATTTGTGTAGAAAAGTAGAGCTGAGTATACTGGAACCTAAAGAAAGGATGCAGAAAGAGGAGCCCATGAATAAGATCTGAAGAAATGGTAAGAGATAGGAGGAGAATAAACTAGGAGTCAGCAATGACCTTGGCAAGGGAAGTTTTCAAGAAATTGTGGGCACAAAAGTTAGGAGTCAAATTCTGAACAGAAAGGGAAACCGAACTATAGGTAAATAGTCTTACATGTTTGGCTAAGAACATATGGAAAGCTATAGATCAGTACTTAGAAGCGAATGCAGTATTAGATGGGAATAATGCATGTCTCTGTAAGCATTTGTATAGTTTTGCATTGGGTCCAAAGTAGTACCAACTTGCAAATGATTTGCATCAGTAACTATATGGATGTAAGAAACAATATTCTCTGAAATACTGTGACAAAATAAAATATGGCTTAAAAACTGGAGGGATTTTTTTCCTCTTAAATTATCCTATGTTACATGAGACATCCATGATAGATCATTTTTGTTTCCTCCCTATAAGTCAAAGTTGAAAAAAGATAAATGCTGGTAAACATTTTATATTTAGTTAACAAATTCTTTTTACCTTTAAAATAAAGAGAGATTTTCCTTCATATGATTTTCCAATGGAGAACATATGAATTAGTCTTGAATGAGTTTTATTAAGATGATGCATCCAACTCTGAATCTAAAAGCAGATAAATAAAACTCATGTTGTATTCTCTTACAATAGTAGAATTTTTAGAGAACAAAGGTAATAGGATAACAGTAGATCTCAGATTTCAAAGGGCATACAGAGAAAAAAATGAAGAAATTTTTCTATTTTTTTGAGAGATATAAAATTACACTTTATTTTCTGCCTTTACAGAGAGTAGTTTATATTTTTCCCTCTTTAAAGCATGACCTCTAACATATGTCATTAATATCTTGATGACAAGGTTTTATAGAAAATTGATGTGTTGGGTGTCTTTCTAAAAATGAAAATTTATTTTCATTTTTTCCCAGAAGTAGTTAAGAGGAAAAGAAAATAACTGTATACAGTACAGTTACATTCATTATTGGGATCTTGTACCTTTACATGACAGGTCTTGGTTCTCATTTTTTCCCCTTGTCCCTGCCCTCCCTTCACCTCTTCCTCCCCTACCCATTTACAAACACTTTATTTCCATTTTTTGTTTCTCATGTTTTTTTCTTTTCCCTTATTCCCTTTCCCCTACCCTTCCCACTTTCCCTACACATTTAGCCCCTTTCTTCCTATTTCACATTGTCAATTATCTCATTAGAATCTTATGTACTATTATAGTTTATTCACACCAGAGAAACTATTTATTATTAAAATTGCACATATTATAATTTGCCACTGAAAAAAACATGCTATGAAAAGGCATTATTTTTTTTAACTTAAAGGTTATTTTGAACCCAAGTTGGAGGGCATACTCTGAATATTTCCTTCAGCAACAGGGATACATTTGCATTGATCCATTTGCACAGACTTATCTGTTATCAGGAGAAGGTGTATTTGGAATGGATGAATAAAATGCTTAGAAAAAAGGGTAACATTTATGACTTAAAAGCCTTGTAAAGATTGAAGAAATAACACAAAAGTGTCCCACTGTTCTTTGAGGTGAAAGGGTCTGTGCTGAAAAAAATTTTGGGGAAGTACCTGTATTTTCTTTTTATTCTATTCTTATTTAATCTAATGAGCAGGGTATGTACAAGCACATATATATTATATTTTTTAATATGACTTTTTTCTAGGCATGTTAATAGTACTTCTGTGTGCCAATGTATCTAAAATTATTTCTTGCTTCTCATTTAAAGTTTCTAAGTATACTGAGACATGAAATATGTGAAAACAACTTTGAAAGGAGAGTTGACATCAAAAGAATCAAAAATACTTTTAATAGGAACTCATTAATTCTGTGTCTAGTACAGTATTCTCTTGTTTAAATCAGGGGAAATATGAAAAATGTACCGATTTGTTTATTTTGTCAACACAATGTCTATCTTATCTATTTGGAGGACTATTTGCCTGCCATTCTGGATATAGTGATAAACAAGGAAGAAACAGTTTTCCCTCACGGAACGTGCAACTTATTAGGACAGAAGGGCATTGGTTGAATAATAACACAATTACATAACTAAGAGCTGTGAAAGGCATCACCTTTGTATACTATGGAGTTGGGTGATATGTTGGGGGTTGGTGGGCAGAGGGGTTTGCCCAGACTGGAGAGTAGAAATATCTTCCTTCTTGCTTAAGCTGATATTTGAAGACCAGCAAGCTGTTGTCAGGTGCACAGTAAAGGATGTGTGGTGAGGATGAGGCTGCTGTGAGTTTTCTAGATAGAACACATAACAGCACGTTCAGAGGTCCATAGGTGCCACCAATGAAGCTTGCCCTCTGGGAAGTTGCTGCTTTGCCAAGGTTCAAGATAAATCTACTGCATTCCTCAACCCAAGCCTTGCCCTGAAACTCAGGCCAGTTTTACTTTCTGTGCCTTTTCATTTAAAACATTTACAATTGTAAATTTAACATTACCTTATTCTTCCATTGCACTTCCTATGTCCTTGTAGGGGTGGGTGGGGAAAATCAGGTAAAGTTCAGATTATTTTGCTTCTTCTTATGTAGCAGTAAAAGGTACAATGGAAGAGATGTGTGAACTGAGCTGCCTAAGCCATAGAAGATTTATATGGGGGCCGGGGATTTAGATCAGTGGCACCACACCTGCCTTGTAAGAACAAGGTCCTGAGTTCAGTCCCCAGAACCAAAAACAAACAAACAGAGTTATATGTATTCTTCCTACAGCCACTGTCTGCCTTTATGTTTCTTTCCCAATCCTTATACCTAAATACAAAGATGAACTAGGAAAAAACACAGAAAAGCTCCTTTGATTACACACTTCTTCTAAGGAGTGATAAACTTCGTAATTATATTCAGGGAGAGATCTTCTACTTCTCTGAGTTTGCACGCTGCTTCCATTTTCTAGTGCTTTCTGAAGATCTTCAATGAGGATTCTGGATTTGAAATAATAGAAATGATGAAAAAAGTAAATTGAGTTAATATAAAAACAGACAATTCCAAAAAAATAAAATCATACATGACAGTGATAAAAAAGTAACACAGAAGTGTCCCAATGTATCATTGTGTGAATGGAAAAAGAAAGACTGCCAAAACTGACATTTCTAAAAATACCAAATGTTGAGAAAGTATTCTTCTTTAGGAAACAAAAATTATTGAATGATAAATTTAAAGAGTAAAACTATAGGTAAATGTTCCCAAATAATAGTAGTACTCTATTAACAGCTACCACTGAGTGAGCAGCTACAGCCAATGATAAAACAAGCACTTACATTTACTTACCAGGAGCAAAGCACTATGCTATGCATTTCATGAACACAATCTTGTTAATTAACCTATGTGGTAGTTCTATTATTATCTCCATTTTGTAATTGGGGAATTTGAGACTCAAAAGGGTTAAAATTTTGCCACTGTTACTGCAGTGACCAGTGCAGAGCCAGAATTTGAACTTTGAATGTGAACCCACATCCTTGTGACTCCAAGTCCAGTGTGACACAATGAAAACTGAGCCTCAGCTGTTCCTTCCCTCATTTTCTTTCCTGTTGCTGCTACCTATTCACATCTGTATCTTTACAGAGAGACTGTCCTCAGACTATCACCCAGCACACTTGAGCCAAGGCTCACAGAGAAGAGGGAAAGAACAGAAGAAGCTACAGTTCTCAAGAGGCAACTCAAGTGCTCACAGCCAGAGAAAGTTAACTTGCTGTCAAACTATATAAAAATGCCAAGAGAAGAAAGGCTCAGCTAGTCAAATGAATGCATTGCAAATTGGAGGTGGAGGCCAGGGCGAGGAATCCCAAGCTCATTCAATGGGTGGAAGCAGATGCAGGAGTATCATCAGTGTTCACAATATTCATGTCACACTTAATGAGAACACCATGACTTAGCAAGGTACTTCATTCATTTGCAATGTTTAAAGAGGTAAAAGAGCCCTTCAGTGATTTTCCTGGGCTGGCAGGTTGCTGAAAAGCATGTTTTATCTTCCAAAGAACTTGTTGTTTGATGGTTTAAATGTTATTAGAGTAACATGTGATAGCGTCTTTAAATGACTTTCAAGGCTGGTCTGTCTAAGCCAATCAATTAAAAAATTTATCTAGAGTCATCCAAATATAAACTTTTTGTTCCATGAAGGAAGTAAATTTACTTGAGGCTATGGAAGGTATATGACAGTCCTTTTTGACTTATTATTTATTGAGTACCTGCTGCAGACAAAGCACTAATAAGGAGTTGACCATTATGTTATTGTTCTTTTTTCTGCATCCATTTTTTACTTTAAAATTGGAAATGGTTTGGAAATCAAGATGAGGAGAGATGGCACAAAGCTTGGTAAATTTTCTTGGCAGCTACTTGCAGTGGCTTAAACTGTGACTGGAACATTAAGTTGTCAGCCTAAACATCATCAGAATTAGCTTTTCTTTTTCTTGCTAAAGGTAAGAAAGTACATGATTAGGTGCCTAGGCTAAAGAACTTTACGACAACGCTGAGGCAGGTCTTAAAGCCAAATGAGTTCTATGTAAGTGTCCAAACTGGGTTGTATTAGGAGAGAATCTCAGCTGTGCAGAAGAATAAGGGTTTGATTTTGAATGAGGTGGTTGTAAACTGTCTCCTCACTCCAATTATGGCAGGTAATCTTCAGACATATTTTCCTTCCAGGACTAGTTCTCTAGGTTACTTCTTTCTTTCCGAGGAAGCAAAGGAAAAACAATGTAGATAGAGTTGTCCAAATGAGCAATTTTCACAAAAATTTCCTTCTGAATGTCCAGTTTGAAAGGTCTGTGGTATTATGTTACAGCAGCTCCAGCATACTAATATAGGTCTAGTCACTAAGACTGTACCCTGATACAAGCTCTTAGAGGCTGAGCTTGCAATTAAAAACAATTATATTGAAAAATAAGGCCCAGACTCATTGTCTTTTTACAAGTTGACTAGAAACCAGTATGCTGATGATAAACTTTGAAATAGAGTACCAAAATGGTCTTTTAAATGATTGCATTTTCTTATTTCCTTCAAATTGATTAAGATTCCTACCCCAGTTGGGTAGGAATTTTACATTCCTAAAATAACAACTAGAGCTATTAAAAGTTTTCCAAGCGATGTCATGAGTCAGGACAAAACTACCTCTGCAAAGCTTCCAGGGTAGGGAGTGCCATTATAAGTGGAAATTTCATTGCCAATTTTTGCAGGTATTTTTGAAATAACTAAATTTTTAACAGCAACATGAGTCATCTCATGGAGAGAGGTTGATCACCGAGGGACCAGACACATGGGGTCACATTATCTCTGCTTTGTAGATCACTATAGTGATACATTATGCATAGTTATACAGAGTAAATGATAATCTTTTGAAAATACTCCAGGCTACAATAATAAAAGTCAATGAAAATGATCTCTATCTACCCTGCCCATGGAATTTAATTGACTCTTATGTGTTATGATCTTGGGAGCAACAAAATGAGTAATTCTAAGTGATTATTCTTCATAAGGAGACACTGATTTAAAATAATCATTTTTTTAGACTCTATGCTCTGTGACACAAAGTGTTATATTTTATTCTATATCAGTTCCACATGACCTATATTTAATAGCAGAAAATAGAGACTTGTTAAAGTAACTGGTATATTTTTTTCTACTGAACAATAATTAATGACATGTGAGTTGTTACTGGGCACCTATAGATATAATTGCCAACCATTCAGAAAATCAAAGCACGCCTTCAATGCTACAGCAAAGATTAAAATGTGTTCAATATGAACAATAGGTTTATGTACATCTGTGATTCTATCTAGAATTATAGCTCAAATACCTTTCTACAGAAAGCACATTGGTACTTTAATAAGGCTGTAAATGTTTCTCTGGCAAGGTAGTATTTGTGTGGACCAGGATGTCCCTGCCATTTTGCACCTTTGCTCCAGACTTCCAAAAAGTCCATGGCCCTCACTGTTGACTCACAGAGGCATCAGCTCACTCAGGCCTTCCCAGACACCATCAGGGATTCATCTGCTAGTTTTGACAGTATAATGACTGGCTAAAATGTTGGGGTGGTTAAGGACAGTTATTTACAATTACGCCTCTCAGCCCTGAAATCCTAGGAGTTCCAATGAAAACGAAGCCATTACTTTTTATTTCATTCATTCATTACACTTCTGTTCCTCTTCCCTGATCTTCTGCCAGCCTCTTTCTCTCCACCATCCCTTTCCCCTGTGTCTGCTGGATGCCCTTTTCCATTGTTAACAAACTTCCTAAGTCCTCCTCTTTTCAGAGAACTCTTCCTTTTCATATTCTTGCCCAACTGGAAATTTGGCTATTAAGGACATATTTCCTTTTGTGGACATCTATCCCCACACTCTGTTTCTGTTTAATATGGGCCCAAAGGGAGGAAAGTCATCGGTCTCCTGGACCCTTATCTCTGCTTCTTCACTGATCTTCTAACTTTGGGAAAGGTCATCCTTTCTTCAGCATCACACAACTCCTTGTACTTCTCTCTAACTCTTGGCTGTACTCTTTTTCTGTACTCTTGTCATCAGCAGAGGAGGTTCAAGACTGTACTGGTTATTCTGTAGTGGTTTAGACCTTCTTTTTTTTCCTTTTCTTCCTCCCTCCCTCTGTTCCTCCTCCTTCATCCTTCTTGTCCTCTTCCTCCTCCTCCTTCTTTCTTCCTCTCCCCACTACCATTCTTTCTTCTTTCTTCAGTAGTGGGGATTGAACCAACCAAGATCTTCATGCTGAGCTATATCCATAGCCTTTAAATTCTTTCTAAAAATTTTTGCGGGAGACAAGTCTTGCTAAATCCCAGGCTGGGCTCTTTCTGGAGCCTCAACTTTCTCACTAATCCAATCATTCTATGTTACTATTCAACAAATTCTCAACTCTGTACCAGTGTTATCTTCTGTCTGAAGCAACTAGTTTTATTGGTTCTCACCTTGGTTTTTTTTTCCTTGGAAGAACTTTTCAAAACCTGTTTCTTTTTTTTTTTTTTTTTTTTATTTT